GCCTATAAAACCGCCTGATAATTATGCACCAACGCAATATTTTTTTTTATGGTGGGGGGGATAAGAAATAATGATATAGTGATACAAGTCTTGTTAGTTAAACCGTATCTGGTGAAGAAAAGATAGATGTATACCTTTCCCAGGCGTATTTGTGCGGAACGAACCCAACTGGAATTGGAACTCGGCACTCCGATTAACACTTCCCAGCCAGTATCAAGTAAACAACCCGCAAATCCAAGTTCACAGAGCCTGGCATTCCGAAGAGGTCACCCATCTAGGTACTGAACAAGTTCGACGTTGCTTAATTTCATTGATCGTACAGGAACAGATGTTTCAACATGAAATAGCCGTAAACTCTGACGATAATATTTAAATTATATAATAATATATTTTATACTATTGTCTACTCAATGTTGGTGGTAAAGCTTGTAGGATAGATAATAGCAGAATCCAGACTTGAAGAGGTTAACGTTATAATGGACGAGGAAGCATCCACTCCGGAGTCTATTCCACAAAGTAAGGTTCTTTGCCAAGAAGCTTTCTGAATTAAACTTCCTTCTTATCAATGGGATATGAAGAAATTGAAAATGAGTCGACCGTTTGTTTGTACGTGGCATGGTGGACCCTGTCTGTGAAAGTCTAGACTGGTTGGTTGGTTGTTTTTGTTTAGCGGCTTACCAAAATCTCTATGGGTTATTTAATACCAAATATTTTGTATGCAGTTTTATTTGTATTATTTTGATATAATAATGGTTTAGTTATACTTCTTACTAATCAACCCGTAGCTTGGGGATTAAGAAATAGATTCATAGCTTTCCCAAAGGTATTTGAGCGTAAGTGAATATAACGAACCCAACTGGAATTGGAACTCGGCTCTCCGATTAACAATTCGCAGCTATTATCCATTACACCACCCGCACATCCAAGCTTACGGCACCTGGTATTTCTAAACAATCACCCATGTTTGGACTAGTGGATCTAAGGAATGTAGCGGGCCTGGACATTTGTCATGAAAATATCAAAAGAGGCTTGTAATGTTTCAGTAACGTGTTGTAAGTTGAAAAATAGTTCATTACCCACAAGTCTACGTAAACTTTATCAAGGCTGGAAAGCAGATACGACCTAGGGTATGGCAGCAATAATCCGTTTGTAGTTTGATCTAGATCTTGGAAAGATACAGTATTTTAGGAGTAGTCTGTTAATTCCTGGGGCGTTAAGAGATGCCAACCATCTTTTCAGCAGCTTTAGCGATGATTCGTATGTATGAATCTCACTTTAGGTCTTGAGCTTGAGTCTCTGTAGGAATTCAAGGCAAACGATCATTAAGAGTGCAATTGTTTTTCATGAGTATAAAAAATGCAGGCTAGGTGATGAGGAAACGTTACCATTTTGGTTTTTGAAAGTACTGAATGCCACAAGCCATCTTTTCCCCCATGAGGCTGTTAGAGCTTGGTCAGAGTAGAGATCATCTGCCATTCCATATTGATGACCTGAGAGAAAATTTTGAACTCGAGAAATAATATTGATAGATTAAATGTTAAAAATATGGAAAGAACTTGCGTGAAAATGAAATGACGATTTTGCTATCAAGGGAAATGAGAACGACACAAGAAAGGCTAATTGCAACCGACTTACAATGAAACTGGCAGGAAGATCGAAAAGTAGAAATACCCGAAAAGAAAAAGCGAAAACTGAAGGAAAAGTAACCTACCGTTTTTGCCAGGAGATAAATTGAAGTAATTGTGAATAAAACGGTCTGGACATTTTTGTAAAGAGGGCATCTGAAGAAAAAAAAAACTAAATCTTTGCCGTTACAGATATTACAGGAGATAAGTTAAAGGAATTGTGAATAAAACATGATGGATATGTTTGTAAAGAGGTGTAGCGAAACTGAAAGGCAGCAGTCTGTGGGTTCTGGTGAACTGACTACAATTCGCCGTTCTAAGAGGCAACGAGTGGCATGCGTGATATGTAAGCATAATAGTGGACGCTTACGCAAATCTAGCAACAGTCTCTGGCTAAATGAAACGAACAAGGAGAAAAAAAATGGCCTACCTTAGAATCCGAAACGAGCGTGAACGCGTTTCGCCTGCAGAGTGCCCGAAGTTAACAATAAAAGCACGAGCGTCCTGGGGGGGGGTATTTATGAGTTACGGACGTGTAACTTATGCAAATTTCGGCCAGTTAGAACTGATATAAAACGAGCAATCTCGCAGGTGGGGTGGGGGTCCCTTCTTTTTCTTTTGTTCTTGAGTTGGTCGTACGTATCGTCGAAGACTAAGAAAGACTATAGGAACTTATCTTCCTCCTTATACTTGGGACGGCAGTGTCAAACTTAAAACCAACTCTTTTCCTTCAAGAGGTTATCTGAGGAGAGAAGATGATTCTTTGTTGCTACAACCATTCCAGGAAACAAATTAAAAAAAATAGCGGATGAAACGACTTTGATATGTTTGTGAAGAGGTCATCTGAAAAGCGAATGTAATTCTTTGTCTTTAAAGTCATTCCAGGAGATAAATTGAGTGAATCGCAGACCTAGCATTTGGATATGATTGCAAAGAGGGCATCTGAATGGAGAAAGAGAAATGTTTTTGGTGGCCTCGGAAACAATGCCATGAGCCCAAATTGTATAATTTTCACGAGAGACATGACAGGAAAATAGCATCTCATGTCATTTAATAAGAAAATACAACTGGTTCGCTAAGAAAATACACAAAATTACGCATGAGTGCGTGGGAAGGGTAACCTATTGAAAAGTGTGCCAGCCAGTAAGAACTCCTATACAAGCCAAGAGTATAGAAACAAACCAAAATATCGCTTTACATGCGGACTGTTATCACTATCTTTGTTATCATTATCACAATGTTCCAGCCGTTGTGTCCTGCGTCCTTCACCTGGTGCTTTTCCATCAAGGGAATCTTCATAGAATTTCAGATTTAACACTTTATATAATCTACAGGGATAGTGTTCTCATTCCTCTCACCCTATCCAGGGTTATATCGTCTATAGTTTTTATTTATTACTGCTCGGTTATTGCTCTGCCCGTTGCCACTGAATCCAAGTACACAACGCCTGGTCCGGGGATTGATTTCACAATTATCGTGTCATCAAATTCACGACCCCCCCCCAAAAAAAAACAACAAAAAAAAAACTCGTTAAGCTATTAAGCTATTGTCCCGTGTTCAATAATGTAAACAGTATGATTTCCGCTCTTCTTGGTCCACTGCTGATGTCTTAATTATTATCCTGCATAGAATTATTGATAATAAAAACAATTTCGAGTGTAATCGCCTTAGATATCTTGAAGACATTTGACAAAGGGGGTTGAAACGCAAACAATCGAGCTATGGAAACTCTGGAGGGGGGTGCTTTCAGTTATCAAGTGTTTCCTGTCAGTTAGGTCTATGAAGGTTATTGTTAATTGCTAGATCTCAGATATACGATGCTGGCGTCCCCAAGGTACTCTCCCCCGACTCTAAATTATCTTTTCGCTTTACATTAACGATCAGCCTAAGAACATTCTAAGATACTTACTAAATATGCAGATAACACCACTGTGTATGAGTGCACCTCCAAATATCTGGATGTCAAGTTGCTTGGCAGCTGATCTCTTCCATGACCACACTCTCATAGCTCAACGGCAGAAAGACTGTTTGGTATCATTCAATACCTCGAAAAGTAAGCATTTCATCACGACAGAGTATACCCTAAACCTGCCCCAATCCTGATGAGTGGTAAGCCGATATATTTCCTATGCGTCCATATAATGTGCATGTCTTACGCCTTCGTTACCCCCACCCTTACAACAATATCACTCAGTAATCCTCTACCTTGAGTGGCAATTGGGCCTTTAATTGAGTGAACTAACAATAAAATAATGTGTAAATAACGATAACTTCTCGTCTGAGAAATTCAAACAGAAATTTTAAATGGGGATATACTATTTGCTAGATTTGCTATCACTTAAGCTCCAGTGTAGTCCCCAAAATACTGTCGTGAACACTTAGCAAGTAAAAAGAATACTAAATTTAAGGTCGAATCAGATCGACAGTATTTTAAATCCTATTGAAGTGTCACGAAAATGAAATCTGTTACAAAAAGAAATGTTTAATCTCAAATCGAGACAACGATGCCATACTAAACGCCTAATGTATGACTCTCCTTGATATTAGTTGTACATACATATATGAGTACATGTGTGCGTGTGCGTATGCATGCATATATATATGAATGGATGAATAAGTATCAGTGCTTTTGTGTTTGTGTGTGAAAGCTTTAATAGATGTGTACGTTGGTACTTTATCCGCAATGTGCCTCGAGTGACACCACGTTAACTTTTTCTGTGATCTCTGCAGTATTCATTGTTCTCGAATAAAGACGATTTTTAAGATACTTGTACATACTTATGTCTGTAAATATATATTTGTGCTTGTCATGAATTCAAAAGTAATTTCTCTGATTTGGAGTTTTTTTTTTTGTTTTTTTTTTTAGATTTACGTTTCATTTCCGTGCTTTGAATAATAATAATAAGAAGAAGAAGAAGAACAACAATAATAATAGTAGTTATTATAATAATAATACATAAATAAATAAATAAATAAAGGTTTCTGCTCGAACCAGGATTGTGCAAGATAAAGGTCTTCTTTCCTGACACTCGTGAAGTTCAAAGGTTGAACTGATGTATTTTTTGCCGTTGAAATGTGCAATTGTTTTACGGACAAAATGAATATGAATGTATTGTTGATTTGATACACAGTCAAGACTAAAACGAATAACGTCCTTATCGTTATTGTTAAAATAATAATAATAATAATAATAATAAAATGTATCTCCAGTTATAAAAATATAACTATAATTTTTTACTAAAATGAGCGGAGTGTATTGCGAAGGTTAGTCTATCTTCAACCATTTTCATTCTATAACATTATTTCTCTCTCTCTCTCTCTTTCTCTCTCTGCTCCTCTTTCTGTCTCTCGTGCAACTCACACATACATATATATTTATGTGAGCGTGTGTAGATAGATAGATAGATAGATAGATAGATAAGAGAGAGATAGTGAACAGACTGTTATATATATATATATATATATATATATATATATATAGATAGATAGATAGATAGATAGGGAGAGAGAGATTAACAGAGTAAGACAGATTGAGAGATATAATGAACAGACTGAGATACATAGATAATAAAAAATGTGATAATCAAAATACTATATATATATATAGTATGTTGATTATCACATTTTTATTATCTGTCTATCTCAGTCTGTTCATTATATCTCTCAATCTGTCTTAGTCTGTTAATCTCTCTCTCCCTATCCATATAACCTATATATATATATATATATATAGAGAGAGAGAGAGAGAGAAAGAAAGAGAGAGAGAGAGAGACAGACAGACAGACAGACAGACAGACAAACAAACAGACAGAGACAGATATAGACATGCTTAGTGTGACGAAAGAGAAAGTCACCGAGAAAAATGGTACGTGTGTTCTATGCGATTTGATGAAAACAAAATAACGAAAATAGAAACAAGTCTGTGGCAGCTGTTGCCATAAATGCATCTCGGATATACTAATATTGTTTATTCTCTCCAACCGTCGACCAAGGAAAAAATTGTTCCGCTTGATAAAAGGGGTTGGTGTTCTCGAATTGAGAAGTACTTTATTTTTCTACCTCGTTCGTCGGCTTGCGAGTGACTGTTGCCTTGTGTGTTGGATTTTTGACCGTTTATGTATATTGAAGCTGCGATTCGTAATTTCGACATTTCTTTCTGCTCCTGTATTTCTGAATTTGGATTTGCGATTTGTTCATTTCGTTGTGGAACGGAGCTGCCATATCAATTTCTGAACACATAGATAGATAGATAGATAGATAGATAGATAGATAGATAGATAGATAGATAGATAATTAACAGACTGTTTTATATATATATATAGAGAGAGAGAGATAGATAGATAGAGAGAGATAATTAACAGACTGTTATATATATATATACAGATAATTAACAGACTGTTATATATATATATATATATATATATATATAGATAGATAGATAGATAGATAATTAACAGACTGTTATACACACACATAGATAGATAGATCGATAGATAGAGAGATAGATAGATAATTAGCAGACTGTTATATATATATATATATATATATATATATATATAGATAGATAGATATATAGATAGATATGAAGAAAGTAAATGATTTGAGTAGTTAGGTATGAAGTGTTAAACTGAAAGATAGATAGATATGAAACGATTGAAATGAAAAAGCGATACATGTGTAAAGACTGAGATAGATAGATAGATAGATAGATAGATAGATAGATAGATAGAAAGCCGTAAATATTTGTGGTTGTGCATTCTATCAATGGATAAAAGTTATTTTCACTCAAAATGTTCTGAATATACATCGAAATAACAAAATCAGCAGAACTATTTTTTAATTTGACATTGATTACTCACATCCAACTAGTTTCTTGATGTTTTCTTTATTCTTTTCGCATGCACACATGCTGCTCAATACCGAGTAATGCAATTGCTTCATTCACCCACAAATATACAGAAATACGAATTTCACCGTCCTCTTGATGGTCCTTGAGTGGACTTTGAAGATGGAAACCAGATTATGAATGTTGGTACCATTATTGAAAGCCTGAATTATCTTTTTCCTTTCACCATTGCTCACTTGGGGAGACAGTAAGTCTGACACAAAACAATTTTAACTCAATTTTAATTCACATTTTAGCTGAATAACTCGACGTGGTTTTCATTGATTCTAACAAAAATGGCGTCAATATGGAAAAGTCTTACCTGAAAACCTGGAAAACATGAACTCAATCAGTTTAGTGTTTTTTTTTCGGATATTAAACATTTTGTGGGATGGACAATTATGCTGTTACACGATATATATATATATATATATATATATATATATATATATATATATATATATATATAATTGGTAACATCGTTTTCCTACCTTTTGAATTATTCTGTCTTAATTTCAATACAATGAAATTTAATTTAGCTCTGTAAAGAAATTTTTCCCTATTGTGCATAAATATATTTATTCAGTATTTCTAGTTTTCATTTTTTTTTTCTTTGATTGCAATATGTATATATGAAAGGCTTGAGGTAGTGTAGTAGATAAGAATTCGGTAAAGGAAATTGTGGAATCCCATTCAGCTTGACTGTGTTACTTTCGCCTCATGTCGTAAAAACTTAGCCCAAATATCTGTGGACTCTGTCCAGTCTCCAGTCATTAGTCCAACAATCTGTGAACACAGTTCCGTCTCCAGTCACTAGTCCGACTCTTTGTGGATTCTTTCCAGTTATATATTCTGTCATGTCGATGTGATTAGCATGCGATGCAGAAAACAATTGACAGAGAAAAAAGGTGGGTGCCTGAGCATTTATCTCATCATACCCAAACCTGTTCAAACAATGGTAGTAAGACGACTATATAAATTAGCAATTTGGACAGATAGTACCAAATATCATAGATAGATAGATAGATAGATAGATAGATAGATAGATATTAAGAGACTGTGAGAGAGAGATATTAACATAGATATTAACATGCATAGATAGATAGATAGATAGATAGATAGATAGATAGATAGATAGATAACATATATAGACAGATATTAACATAGATATTAATAACGATAGATAGATAGATAGATAGATAGATAGATAGATAGATAGATAGATAGATATTAGCTGACTTAGATATTAACAGACTTTGAGAGATAGAGAGATATTAACATAGATATATAAACAGATATTAACATGCATAGATAGATAGATAGATAGATAGATAGATAGATAGATAGATAGATTTAGACAAATATTAAGATAGATATTAATAACGATAGATAGATAGATAGATAGATATTAAGAGACTGTGAGAGAGAGATATTAACATAGATATTAACATGCATAGATAGATAGATAGATAGATAGATATTAGTTGACTTAGATATTAACAGACTTTGAGAGATAGAGAGATATTAACATAGATATATAAACAGATATTAACATGCATAGATAGATAGATAGATAGATAGATAGATAGATAGATAATATATTTAGACAAATATTAAGATAGATATTAATAACGATAGATAGATAGATAGATAGATAGATAGATAGATAGATAGATAGATAATATATTTAGACAAATATTAAGATAGATATTAATAACGATAGATAGATAGATAGATAGATAGATAGATAGATAGATAGATAGATAGATATTAAGAGACTGTGAGAGAGAGATTAACATAGATATTAACATGCATAGATAGATAGATAGATAGATAGATAGATAGATAGATAGATAACATATATAGACAGATATTAACATAGATATTAATAACGATAGATAGATAGATAGATAGATAGATAGACAGACAGATAGATAGATAGATAGATAGATAGATATTAGTTGACTTAGATATTAACAGACTTTGAGAGATAGAGAGATATTAACATAGATATATAAACAGATATTAACATGCATAGATAGATAGATAGATAGATAGATAGATAGATAGATAGATAGATAGATAGATAGATAGACTTGGAGCTATAGAGATATAATAACATAGATATACTGACAGATATTAACACGCATAGATAGATTATTTAGACAGATATTAACATAGATAGATAGATAGATAGATAGATAGTGTGACCATTATTTCAATACTTTTAGCGAATTGGATGCATGTCGTTTTCAAAATATGCATTTATTTTGTAACTAGCTGAAAGCTTCGCTCCTGACGTAGCTTATTTTTCTAATCGCAGAGAATCAACCTCTGCAGTAGGCATAAAATCGTAAACATCACAAATGTCAAGAAAAAGTTTCAAAGTACAACAGACATTTCTTTTTAGCAGTGAGATTTCCAGATCAGGAAGAAAAAGCCGTGACTTGTGGCGAAATCGTGATTTCGTGCGTCTGAAATTTTCAATTATTTCTTTAATTACAAATAAAATATCAACTTTTATAAAAGATATTCTAATATTTTGCTTTTATATTTGAAACGATTCATATTGCTAGAGTACGTTATTTTAAAACGTTTTAAATGAAATGTACGTTAATATCGGGAGAACAATACAATCTTGTGTCTAATAAGTAGGGACTTGTATCATTAAACCATTATCATTTTATCTTTATCTTACACTCTAAAAATATTTGCTGGGTTTAAATAAGGGTTGGTAAGCCGTAAATAACGTATCAATCAATCATTCAATTTGGGAGTGACCATCTTCCATTTTTTCGATATTTTACTAATTATACCCACTTATTACAACAAATGCAACATTTGATATTTTTTTTATAATGCACTCGAATTTTTAAATTTTTATAATCTTTTATAATTTATATTTTTTTTATAATTTTTTTTATAGTTCACACAAAATTTTAAATTTTTATAATTTTTTATAATTTATAATTTTTTAATAATTTGTTTTTATAATTCACACAATTTTTAAATTTTTATAATTTTTTATAATTTATAATTTCTTTTACAATTTTTTTATAGTTCACACAAATTTTTTAAATTTTTTTTTTTTTTTATAATTTTTACAATTTTATAATTTTTTATAATTTTTACAATTTATTCATAATTACAAAAAAGTTATAAATTGTAAAAACAATTTATAATTTGTTTTTATAATTCACACACATTTTAAAATTTTTTACTTGTAATTTTTTATAATATTTTATATAATTTTTGATATTTTTATAATTTAAATTTTTTTTATAATTCACACAAATTTTAAAAATGTTTTCTATAATTTTTTAATAATTTTTATAATTTATAATTTTTATTTTATAATTCACACAAATTTTCAAAGGAAAACCAGAAGGTAATTAACACGAAATATATAGTTTGTTTTCGTAAAGCATGTCACCACCCTCATCATCAATCATATGACCGGGTGTGGTTGTAGAATCACTCATCTTTGTTGTTACAATCAAAATGTTTCGGTCGTTGTGTCTTCCAGCCTTCTTCGGGTGTCTGTTAATCCGGGTAACCCTCAGTAAATTTTGAATTGAACCCTTTATTTATTTTATAAGATAAATTCTTCTCATTTTCACTGTTCATGGGATATTCATTACTTTTTTTTGTTTTTTTAGTTGGCTCAGTTATCGGTAGGTCTGAGTCTGATTCTATACTACTCATACCAAGGATTGAACTCATAATTATTATTCCACAAAATTCCAGAACCAACATTTTAAGCCTCTCGGCCAGCACTTTTCTACCTGTGCCTCTAGGGATGCTAATGCGACCTGAAATGTAACCAGGTGCGCTCCAAGTTGACAGAAGAATAATTTATGAATTATTTTTATATTAAAAGAAAATCTTTATTTTTAAAACCCCTAGAGACACCAAGCGCATAGCTTCTATGTGAAGTCTGTCGGAGTTAATTCTTCCTTTATTTGTCCAAACCGTTCACTAGGGGAAGCTCTCCCTACACTATAAATACGGGGCGATTTCTTGCCTCGTTCTCTTTTTCATTTCTTCGTTGTCAGCAAACACATCTACAATGTAAGCTCTCGCAGAAGATTGCGTCTTCCCATTTGTGGGAGGCGCCATGAACATTATACACACATTAACGTACGTACGAACATTCGCCAAATCACAAACTCTTTACATTCACACACAAATGTTAATGTCTATGTTCATAGTAAATTTTGTTGTTTAATACATATACTTGTTTGTATCTATATATCGGTCTTGTTGGTTTTCTTTACATCTTTGGTTGGACTCAACTTGAGTCCCCCATATTCTTGTAGTGGATCTTTTAGTCTTCTAGCAGGAATAAACACACGTGTTCCTAATTTAACACGTAAAATCCCAAGTCCGCTACAAGTCTTTGTCATTTTAAACTAGATGTTAAATTCCTTAATATTTAAGATTCAGTGGATAATCCTTTCCCTTTTTGTTGTGGGTTCCGGATTCAAATCCGGTACAAATAAATAACAAACGCCAGGAATGAATATATGAAAATAATGTATTAACGTAATAATACAAACTGGTAAAGCAGGTTAGTAGTTCCAGGAATACGGGTTAGTAGCAATATATATATATAGTCTTTGGTATTGAAGTATCGCTGTATGACTTCTTACTGAGTCTACGTGCTCGCTCACTGTGACTCCTACAACGCTGTTACCTCACCCTCACTCTTCCGGTTACCTACAAACTTTTACTCTGTCACTCTGGTCTCGACTCGACTCTTGCTCTCCCGGGTCTTCACGTAGCCGTAGTATATGTATATACTGGGTGAGTACATTTGTGTAAAAAGGGGTGGACCCCTCAACACTTTTGCCTTAATCAAGGAATTTAAATTAGTCATTATCGGTCTCTCTAAAACAATAGCAAATTCTTCATAAATCAATTTACATGACTACTTCACATATAATGTCTAACTGGTATCACCTATGAGTCCTTACATGCAAAATATTCTCAAAGTACATGAAGCACAGATTTCACACAAGCATGCTTAAATATACAATGTTAAAGATAAATGCTTATATCAGGAGATTTCTTTATTGTTTTCCTATTTTCAAATGACTAAATTTTCCTCATTAAAATTTAAAATACACCCCAGAGTTTTAGTTATTCTACTATGCACCCTGAAGTAAGAAAGACGGGGGAATACTACTCTCGTCTATTAACTAGTAGTAACTGAATACAAATAATTAAAAAAAAAACAAAAAAAAAACGGCGGAATACTGTTAGATATTGTCATCAGAAAACAAATGTATATCAGTAGATTAAATAAAAGGTTCAGTTAGAAATTCTTTGTAAGTTACCCAAAATGACAGACACCTGAATAAAAGTCAGACGGCACAATGGACGAATCGTTGTTTTCTTAACAACAAAGATCACGATATTATTCCGGTTGCAATTAATGTAACTAAATGATAGTTTCTAATTCCAGAAATTCAGACAGCGTTTGTTTTATGCAAGCCCAATTCTATTTTCTCATATAAAAATACATAATTTATGATTCACTGCCACTCGTGTTACAGGATTGATTTATTCTTAATATAACCTTTCGTTCATGCGTAAAAAAAACCCAAAAAACAGAGGCAGCTTGCACCTGTTGCCCCCGAAAAAGCTGTAGCACTTGTTACCGTAGATCTAAAACCATTACCCGTTATCTGGTTATGCAAAAGATAATCTTATCATAAAACGTACGAAGAGCTTCTTTTTTTTTGTCTTGTAAATTGAATATTAAAATTCTCTTTGGTATTCTTATTTTATGACAATCTTTACTTCGAGACTGCGAAATGACAATGAATACGACCAAGCATTTTGAATATTCTGTGTGTGTGTCTCTCTCTCTCTCTCTCTCTCTCTCTATATATATATATATATATATATATATATATATATATATGTAAGATGATTTATGGCAAAGACATTTTTTTCTTTCTCAAGATATTCACGACGCCTTCATGGCTATACTTCACTTATTTGCTGGAGAACCTAATGTTCTGGAGTTGTTAAATAATTTATTCTTGCACCTGTTCCCCTTCTTTAATACTGAGATTAGCAAATGTCATAGTAGACTTTCTTCTATTTTTTCATGGGCCACACTGGAAGAAAATTAATTAACAGACAGGCTTTTAAAAAGATGACTGCTTGCAGAAACTTCAGAATAGAAAACTTAAAAGATAGACAAGGTCTGAGCGTAGGCCAGTGGTTACAGTGTGATTTTTAAAATGTTATGGATTCATGTAATCGTCGTGGGTCTGTGGACAGCAGGCACAGGAGGAAAACTGTAGGAACCCCTAAAAAAGTGTAGTGAAAGAAACTGGGGTAGGAAGGAGACAAGATATCACTTGTAAGAAGACAAAATGTATGGTTGTCAGTAAGAAGAACCGCCCAGGATACCAAAATAAAACGTATCAAAATCAAGAACGTAAGAAAATTTAAATATCTGGGAAGTGTTTTTACAGACTATCATATGGGCAGTTTCCTCACAGATAAAGAATAGGCTTGAGGCAAAAGAAATGTGGTCCCACGGGGCGATGCAAAAAAAAAAAAAAACAATAGGTAAAAGATGAGAGTAAAGATGAAGTTCTTTTTTGTCTAAAAATTTGACATAATATATCTTATATATAAAAAAAGAGTGTATGTGTGTGCTTGTGCGCGTGTGCGTCCAAGCAACTCCTCCGCTCTCACTGGTCCGATTTTAATAATTCGTAGCTCATTCAAAAGCCCTAGAAATGTTAGGCGCAGGGAAAGATTTTCGTTGAGCTCAAATTCAGATTTGCCAGATTATGCGAGGTTAAATATATATATTAAAATATTATACTAGCCATTACCATTGCTTTCATGGTTCAAGGGAAGTAACTCTTATTTTCCTTTTGTATAAAAAATTGCAGTGTGCGTTTTATTATAAACTAATTTAAAAGCCGCCCTATCGGGTGACATTCAAGCTAGCTTCTGTGGAGGACTCTTGGCTTGGCCATCATCACAGTATCTAGTGGGGAGTAGATGCGATAGCCATCAATAAACTACAGAAGAACTCAAAATTGATCGCTGCATTTAAGTATTTGAATTCATGTTTAAGCTTACGTTTTAAAAGTTCAATGATAATCCTTCTGCTGCTACTTAATTTAAAGACGATTTGATGTACGTAGGTCCTTATTTTCCGTACAAACATTTATTATTTCATGTGCGACAGAACAGGGGACAATATATAAAATAAAATTAATACAGTGTAAAGATAGGGAAATAGAAATTAGTTAAAATTCAATACTTGAAGTGTTAGAGAAATATAATAGTTGATTAAGTAAAACCTATGTTATGGGATCTATATGACTAAATTGGAGGACAATTATCCAAAGAATTCTGAGGTTAAAAAGCCCTGACGCTACTTTATAGTAATTTACACGGTGTTTACTCTTTCTCCGACGGGAATGAGATGTGACACAAGGTCTTTTTAATGTGGGGATCCGAGCGCGTACACTCGGGCAGGGACAAAAATTCCGCACATCCCCAGCAACCGTCGGTTGCGCTGGCCTCGGTGCGAGCACTGACCCGTCCCTCTAGTGCAACGGGAGGGCGCGGTCTCGGGCAGCTGTTCCACAGGGCTGGGCACCTCTCAGTATTATTTTCTCAGTTTCCCCTCTAACCTTTGACAGAGAAGCCCCTGAGCGCACTCTGTCCAAGGACAGAGACGCAACTGAGATATGATAAATAAAGAGTATAAATTACTCATAGTAATTTACACAGTGTTTACTCATTCCCCCACGAGAATGAGATGTAACACAAGGTCAGATTACTGTGGGGACCCGGGCGCGTGCACCCAGGCAGGGACAAAAATTCCCCTCAGCATCCGAAACCGACGGTTGCGCTGGACTCGGTGCGATCACTGATCCCTCCCACTTGTGCAATGGGAGGGCGCGGCCTCGGGCAGCTGTTCTCCAGGGCTGGGCACCTCTTCAGTATTATGTTCACATTTGCTCCTCTGTCCTTTGAAAGAGAAGCCCCTGAGTGCACTCTGTCCAAGGACAGAGGCGCAACTGTGAGATGATAAATAAAGACTATAAATTACTCATAGTAATTTGCACGGTATTTACTTGACCTCCTACGAGGACAGGTTGTGACACAAGGTCGGTTTAATGTTGGGAGCCCGAGCGCGTGCACCCGGTCAAGGAACAAAAATTCCCCGAGACCCCGCAACCGTCGGTTGCGCTGGCGTCGGTGCGAGCACCGATCTCTCCCTCTTGTGCAATCTTCCCCAGGGCTGGGCACCTCTTCAGTATAATTCTCCCTTTGTACTTTGACAGAGAAGCCCCTGAGCGCACTCTGTCCAAGAACAGAGACGCAACTGAGAGATGATAAGTAGTATGCATAAATTACTTAGAGTAATTTACACTGGTATTTACTCGTTCCCCCACTAGAACAAGATGTGACACAAGGTCGGTTTAATGTGGGGACCCGAGCGCGTACACGCGGGCAGGGATACAAATTCCCCTCAGCCCCCGCAACCGTCGGTTGCGCTGGCCTCGGTGCGAGCACCATCCCCCCTCTTGTGCAATGGGAGGGCGCGCCCTCGGGAAGCTGTTCCCCAGGGCTGGGCACACCTTCAGTATTATTTTCTCAGTTGCCCCTTCGTCCTTAGACAGAGAAGCCCCTGAGCGCACTCTGTCCAAGGACAGAGACACAACTGAGAGATGATAAGTAGTATGCATAAATTACTTAGAGTAATTTACACTTGAGAGCTCAATAATTGTATTATATATTATCTACTTCTAGGCAATATCACTCTTCAGGCTTAACTAATTTGTTTATTGATTTTGAAAAAAGTAAATTTCATTAATTAACTGTCCCTCATTAGTGTTCTTTTATTCAAGGATTGTTTTGATTTTCATATCAAAAATAGTTCTGTTTACGAATATTGTCATATATAGTGTAGAAAAGTGTTTGAAATTTGCATTTTTCTTGGCTTTCAATAAGTTGGCATCTATTTGTAAAACTTGCCTTAACTATAAGAAGCTAATTTATGAACGAATTAAAATTTTTCTTTGAAATATTTCAAGTTGTGAATATATCTTACTTTGCGAAGCGATAACGATCGGGTGAAGCCTGCTGGTAAGACATAAAGTTATCCCATGCTAAAATAATTTAAATATAAATTGAAAAAAAAAATCGTGGAACTAGAACAGTCTACCCCGGTGGACGAAATAAAGGGTTCAGTTCAATATTTTTATTTGAAGAAGGCCAGAGCGTGCAACGGCTGAAGCGTCGTGAATATATTAGTAGTTCTCAAGGTACATTGGAAGCATATGTAAAAGAGGATATTCAAGCAGTGAAATTTTTTAAAAAATTCCCAGAAGTATAGTGGTTTATACTGTTAAGAGACATCAGGAAACGGGACAAAACAAGACCAAAAGAAGGGCTGGTAGACCAAAATCAACAAGAGCAAAGGACAATTTCATCAGAGTCACCAGCTTTGCGTGACAGAAGGCTGACTGCTCTAAACATCACTGCACAACTGAACCAATGTCGTGAAAAAGTGAGTCAATATCCACCGTGACGACAAGCTGGCCTATATGGCAGAATTGCTCTCAAGAAACTACGGTTGAGTAATGTCAAAGTGGGGCCAAGGCGCACAAGGACTGGACAATAGAACAATGTGATAAAATCCTTTGGATTGACGAATTAAAGTTCAAAATCTTTGGGTCAAATAAGAGGGTCTATATGCAGCCAAGACTTGGTGAAAGAACTGCAAACCCCTTGTATTACAACAACCGTAAAGCATGGTCACTCCCAAGCAAGGCAATAAAGTCTCTAAAGCGCAACATTGGCAATGTGGTAGTTAATCAAAATAAAATCTCTTAAACGTAGATCTCAGAACAGATTTGCAATTTCGATAACTCAAGAGTGCCAAATTCTATTTATAGGGAATTGAACGATTGGCTAGCGGTTAATAGGAAAGGAGTTCGGTAACCCACCGGGAATGAACACTGGTCCTCGAGAAGCAAAGGATAACGAGGGATAATGTTTCGTTCTACTTGTAAGCAGATTGAGTATTCGGTTGCAGGTGAAAGCATAACAATAACATTTGAGAACGCTCCCCCCCATAGAGATGGTAATGAGAAACTCAGTCGATCGAAAAAGATACGATAATGAAATTGGTAGTCAAAAGATAACTGGTGAATGAATATCAGGTAGAGGAACAAAGATAATAAGGTTGTTTACTGGGTGGCTGGGACGGGGGTGTAGGATCTCAATAAGGAAATAGCAGTAGAAATGAACAAGCAAATAATGATATTAAAAAGGCATAATCCTTTCAGCATCAGAACAAATCGGGGACTTATCTCACTGGTATCGCTCCAGAAAAAAATTCGGCTAGTATCCGAACAGAAGCGTTAATTTATTAAGATATTATTTTTCTCACAGTTTTGGATAATTGGGGAAAATTTCCTTAGAAATAAACAAAAGTGTGTCGAGCTGTTATGTAATATCAATCCTTATGTATGACAGATTAAGATAAAACTGGAAGCAACAGAAACGGGGTTCTACAGAAGGATGCTGAGAATAACATGGACGAAATTTTTAGGAAAAGGAAAACAAAAAAAAATGAACACGTACAGGGAAAGCCGAAAGTCAGAGAAAGTTGAAATTTCCTGGATACATAATGAAGAAGGGGGAAGAGGAGGAAGGGCTATGGATTGCTTCCCGTTTGAAACTTCTCATATCCTTGATATTTGGGTGTAAAAAAAAAACAAACAAACAAAAAAAAACGGTATGCGAGGAAACCATTTTTTTTTTGTTTCTTTATTTATGAATACGAATTCGTCATCTGGATTAGAGTCGACGTGAATGATGTCATTTACTGTGATTTGCACCGATTCCCGTCCCATCGCCGGAGTTAAGTAATGTCGAGCCCGGTTAGTATCTAGATGGGTTACCACTTGGGAATACCAGGTGCTGTAAGCTTGGATATGCGAGCGGTGTAATGGATAATGAGGCGAAATTTTTAATCGGAGACCCGAGTTCCAATTTCTGATGAGTTCGTTTGATTAATTTACGCGCAAATCTACTTGGGTAAAAGGCATGAACCCACCTCTTCTCGCCACAGCTCTGGGTGAATTAGTAAGACTTGTATCACTAAACCATTTTTTTAAATCTTAAAATCTATAAATAATTTTCTAGATTTAAATAACCTGCAAAGGGTTGATAAATCGTAAAAAATGAATTATTCAATATTTTCTTCCGTTACAGTTTCACTGCACCACAATGCTGAAAGTCCTAACAAAACGGACTCGACAATATAATTTTACATTGTTACTAATCTAAAATCTACATAATCGCTTTCTATTTACTCCTCTTTAGAAATGGCCTTACCCTTCAGATAGAAACTATTAGTTCCACTTGGGAATCGCCGACTACATGAGAAAAGAATTAGCCATTTTTTTTTTCTCCAGACTATGAATAAAGGAACCAGGCTTTCCCATTGAAGGTTTAATCGATTGTTTTATTGCTGGAGTCAACGAAGAATTATATTCCCACTTTAAGGCTATTTTCAGTAATTCTTATTTGAATACTCACTTGGGGTATAGTTAGGGTATATAAGTATAGACTCATATTTAATAGCTATTTATTTCGGTAACTCGATATAGCGGATGAATTTATCCACAGTAGCGTATTTCTAGTTTGAAACGTTCATCTAAAAGTCACGCTCACACCCTTGAGAACCAAGCTGGGAAGAAGAATAAAATTTAAAAAAGAAAAACAACTTTCACATTTTATTGCAGCTCTTGTTACGTCAGTCTACAGTCGTCAGTAAATAGTTATTTATCTGTGCACCCATTCGAACAGAATATAGTACAAGGCCGCATTTAAAGTAGACCTATCATCATCATCATGTGCCGTGTTCCTTAGCGAGCTGGACGATCATAGCTCTCCACGACGTTCTGGTGTGGTATCCCCTCTGGGGATGAGCACTGTATTCTTAATTTAATCACTGATAGGGGTTACACTCGAACCAGGTTATTAATCCGCTATGTTACACAGATTGGAAGTAAGTCTTTCTCGTCGATTTAATGAAATATACTGAATATCTCTGAAGTTAGGACGAATTAACTTCTTTTCAGATATTCAAAGTTCGAGCTTTTACCGCGGCTTGAGTACCGACAATTATCGCAGATATGAACACCCAGCAAAGTAGAAGCACCTCAGTCTTAATCTGGCACAAGGCCACGATGATGAGGAAGACTTATGAGTGTCAAACTTACCGTACTAGTGAATTTCTCTGCGAAAGAAGCGATTAGAAAAAGAGCTACTTGATTCGCACTACTATTTAAAAGGTGATTGTAGAAATATAGGTTACTTTGATAGCGATTAACCGATATCCTCTTGGGGTCAGTTTAAACTGACATCTTCTTTCTCACTATATCTTACCTATAAAGATAAGCTATAATTTTGGAAAATCAAAATATCCATTTTTTTTTTTATTCCAAAATAAAAAAAAATGTACAAACTTCAAGCAAGATGGTTGACTTTTCTACCTTAGATGATGTATGAGGCTGAAAGTATAGAGCACCACTCACTACTCAGTTGTAATGGATCTATCAAGCCAATCTTGCTATCGAATACACCACGTCGAGTGTCCTAAATGATTTTCTAAGCGGAGATTAGATCTGGCATAAGGCAGAATGTATGGGACATCCAGTAAGGATCGAACTCACTACTCAGTCGTAATTGAACTTGCGAGACAAGCTTGTAACCAATTCATCACGTCGAGTGTCCTAAATGATTTTCTAAGCGGAGATATGCCACAAGGCGAAAAGTGTGAAGCATCCAATGAGGATCGATCTCGCTACTTAATTGTAATTGATCTAACGAGACAAGCTTGCTCATCATAACACTACGACGAATACCCAAATGATTTTCTAAGTCGAGCTTAATGTGGCACAAGGCCGAGGCACGCAGTGAGGATCGATCTCACTATTCACTTGTAATTGATCGCGCGAGACAATCTTTCTAACCATTACACCACGTTGAAGCGACGGCACTTCAACAGGGTGTAATGGTTGGCAAGCTTGTCTTGCTAGATCAGTTACGACTGAATAGTGAGTTCGATCCTCACTGAGCACCCCATACTTTCGGCCTTGTGCCACATCTAAGCTACGCTTAGAAAATCTTCACCACGTTGAAGTGGCCCGGGGGGGGGGACTGGTTATGACCTGTATTAGCATTTTCATTATTCACTCTTCTTTGGTAAATCTTGAGCAATACGAAACTAACTCCTTGTTATGAGTCCGTTATCTTACTAGTAAGCCATACCAGTGTAGTAAATAGAGATAAAATTTAACTTTACATTGAAGTTTGAGAGTAGTAATTGTAATTGTTCTAGAAAGACAAGCTAACTAACAACTGCGCCATCTCGAGATGCCCTGAATGAATTTTAAGCGTACCTTAGATGTGGCACAAGCTTAAAAGGATCGAAATCCTTATTCAGTCGTAACTGATGTTACAAGACAAGTTCGCTAACCATTACCCCACGTTGAAGTGCTTATATGGTTACAGTAGTATTTACCGACCTCCCCACGAGGTAGGGTGTGGCACAAGGCCGAATTTAATGTGGGGGGAACCCGAGCCCGTAGGCTCGGGCAAAAATTCCTCGGAGACTCCGCAATAACAGGGTTGGGTTTGTCTACCACCTCTCTGCACGAAGGCAGAGAGTTCGATAACAGCCAAAGAGCTTAGCACGCGGCCAGATACAGCTGCCTACTTACCTGCTCTAAAGGCAGTAACGATTTTTTAAGCGTAGCTTAGATGTGGCACAAGGCCGAAAGTATGGGGTGCTCAATGAGGATCGAACTCACTATTCAGTCATAATTATTTTAGAGAGACAAGCTTGCTAACAATTACATCACGTCGAAGTGCCCAGATGTTTACAGTATGTTTTGGAGGAAAGCGCCCGTTAAAAGTAATACTATTTTTTTTATTATTTCATCTTAAGCAAGATGATAATGCCACTCGGACGCAAGAAGTTCGGTGAGAGTGAAAGAAAATGAGAAGACTTTATTGGAGAGAAAGAACATTGAAAAAAATCATCCAGGAAGACAAAAAATTGCGATTGACGTTGCATTTAAATTTTTTGAAGATTGTGGGTGACAAGGTAGCAAGAAATCTGAAGAGCGTTCCAAACTGTTAATTATATTCTTTCTTCGATTCATTTTCACTATTTTTACTCGTGCTATTTTCTTACACCTTAGAGGCTTTATTGCCTTGCTTGATATGAAATGATTAAAAAGAAAATAGTAATTTCTGGCAATCGGAGCTAAGAAGAAAGTTAGTTTCTACGATCGCCTCCAAACTCACACCTGCTTTCGCAGTGTTGTCTTTGGATCAATATCAATTCTTATACAAATATTCAATACTCCCAATCTATTTCTTAGAATCCTTTTTAAAGTATTTTCAGAATTCCGTTGGTTAGTGATGGTCATATTTTTAGAGAATTTTCAAAATAATCTCTCGTAATTCTCTCCTGAGATGAAGTCATAACAAGTCTCCTCTGCATTTTCACTAGCCACCAAAAGATTTTGACCATATTGTTTTTCTCCTCTTAACTTAAAAAAATGAATCAAGTTTCATATCTTTAAAGAGATAAATTTATTTTTCTATGTTTGCATGCAATTACGCAATAATTTAAATCAAAATTAATATAAAATAATTATAATTTCAATTAAAGTAAATTTATATTTTCTTTTCATTAAAGAACCCACCACGAACATTTATTGCTGCACACCAAATTTTTGGCACCCTTTCTAGTAACTTATAAGAAAATGTTGGTGGAAGGGATTCCCAAACAGTATGTAAATGTCTAAACAACTCTTGCTTATATTTTTAGGCAGCTTACTTTCAAATTTACGATCAATTTCGTCCCAGACTAGTTCAATTTGTGAAAGATCTAGAGACTGAGGTGCCCAAATTATAATTTTTAAAATTCCCTGATCTGCCTTTTTGATTTTAAATAATTTGTACACATTTTTGAGCCGTGTTTTGGATCATTATCTTGTTGCAGAACAATTTTTTCCTTAATAATGCGGCAGACAGAAAGAATTTTTATGAATATTTTTTTATTAACTTAGAGAAACAATTCATGGTGGCCCCAAACTTTTGATCGGTGGAGTATATAATGAATATATTTGTACACATAAAATATTCATACCAACAGTAACCTTAATATAATTATTATTGCTGATAACGTCATTAACGTTAGAGTCACATCTAATATTAACTCTTGCATTATTTTTATTACTTTTTTTGGATATAAACCTTTTATTGAATTTTAATAATTTGAGTAATACAAAGAACGCTGAAAAGTTCTGAGCCCCACCAAAACTCCATGCATCACAAAAATCAGATATAGATTCATATAGTTAGATTTGAGAAGTGGATCAGATAGACAACGTTTAAACACCCCCCCTGTATTGTTATTATTTTTTTAATAAGTTTCTTGTGTATAATCCTTCAACAGGATAAGTATTCAGTGTAAGTAGATTAGATGATTGCGTATTTCTCGCAGGTGCCACTGGCCGGTGTTAACAATACTCGTTTTTCGACTGCTGATTTTCAAAGATCACCTCCACTCCATATTTGCAGGGTAGCAACACTAATTTCAACTCGGAACCTCAAAAGAGTAATTTGCAGTTCAAGCCCCATGCTCTCTTTGTAATAAAAATTACCCGAATAGTTCTATTTTAAATGTAAATGTACATGCTTAATTCGAAAATAACAAAGAAATTCTGATAAAATCTACCGTTTTGGAGTTATCAACAATAAAATTTCGGACTCATTCGCGTCGCGGAGGGTGACGTTGAAATTAATTCTGCATCTGTATTTGAAAGATTGCCGTAATGCAAACTTCTTACCACTATTTTCACGTATTTTGATTTTTTTAATATCCGGGGTACTGGCTATGGTAGT